ATATTTCTTCTTTAAAACTCTCCCTGTCCTGAAGGGCCCGCTCAGTGCCTCACTTATTGTTTCAGCCAGAGTGAAATTTAGAAGGTCGGGATTCTGGCTATCATCAGATGTCATATGGAGATTTTTTTCGATTTAGAAACGTACTTAAATAGCTATTTTTTAGTGATTAAACCTGTTAAAAAAAATAATAAGTGCGCGTATGTGTAATTATTCTGCCAACACCACCAATGCAGGCTGAAACGAATCAGCACTCTGATGCGTAAAAGTAAGATTTATAGCTCTAATAACCTTAAACAACATTTGAGATGTGGATATCGATGGGATTTCGTCTCCAACCCAGATAAATTTCATAAGAGGAGAAGTTTTATTTACATGTTAGCCAAATGTACACAGATTTAAGGATTTGTATTTATTCCGCTTTCTGCCTCCACTGCGGCGTTCCCCACACCACACCCCCTCCCTCGCCTGTCCCGCTCCTCCTCTTCCCTCGCTACCACGTTTGGTCGCGTCGTGTGTGCCACTGTACCCTGCTTCAGCGCTACAGTAGCCATGAATGGACACGTCAGAGGGCCCTCCTGTCCCCCTTCATCCATCCTCTCTTGACTTCCACCCTCCTACCTCCACAGAACCAACACCCGATCATCACACTCATCACATACTTAGGGCTTGGATGAGGCGTGGAGGGGATAAGAGGGTCACTCTCCTCATTCCTCACTCTTTTTTCCATTCCACTTGAGAAGCTCTGAGCATTTGAACAGACCCCCCCCCCCACCCCCCTCTCCTCCTCCTTGAATGGCTCCATCTCCCCGAGCAAACGCTCTTTCATGCTGTTAGTTGACGGAAACTGTGATTTTTTTTATTTCTTCTCCCTCGTGCTGGCTGTTTGATGAAAAGTTGACTGCTGTGACTTTTCTGTGTCGCCATGACCTTCTGTCGGATTGAGGGTTCCAGAGCAGCTTTGTGTGGTGTCCGTAACAACTGATGGGCAAAAAACGAACCAGAGAAGGACTTGTGAAAAGAGAGAACAGATGCTTGTGTGAAAAGATTTAGAGGTGTGTGGGTCTGATTTGGTTCTGGGTCATGCAGACTCACCCGCCGGGCGACCCCCCAGACAGCCTAGCAACCGGCCCTAACGGGAAGGTGAAGACTTCAATTATTAAAAAAATAGGCCTACATTTTGTCCTTAGTTTTGTCCCCCTGAGCCACAATGAAGGTTCAAGACGTACGGTGACCTGAACTCTCTGTTGCCCCCGCCCCGGCGTGCCCCGCCCCGTCTGGCCCAGCCTGCCCGTCAGCACGGCCCTCAGTGGGTCCGTGCCTTGGATCTCACACCGCCGGCCTTCGGGCCCTTACTCCTCTCTGGGCACCCCCACACCTCCTGGGGCCGCACATCCTTTATCAATGCAGGAAAGCCCCAGCTGGGGGCACCATTGGACCCCGGCCAACTTTGACATCCAGACCCTCACTGCTGGTCTCAGCGCCTTCCCTCCCTTACTCAGGTCAGTTCACGGGGCCGGGGCCTGCATGGTACGGGATCAGCTTTCGGGGGCCACCACCTCCGGCACCAGCCCCCCACTCAACTCTCATCTGTGGCCGGCCCGCACCACCACCGCCCCCCAGGCAGGGTGTTCAGCACCCACCGTACCGACAACCTGCTATCGGACACACAGCAGGCGCCCGCAACCCAGGACAGTTAGGGCTGGCGGAGGAGGACAGGTGTGTGTGTGTGTGTGTGTGTGTGTGTGTGTGTTGTCTGTCGGTCAGTCACAAACTCATCTCTCATTTTACACTTTTGTTCCCAGAAGCTTTAAAGGACAGTAGATGTAGATCATTACACATCTTTGAGCTTTTACCCACCTGATGTCAGTCACATATAGATGTGTTCCACCTGTGTACAAAACTGTTTAATTGGCGTTGTGTTGCGTTCACTGTCTGGAGGCCTTAGTGCAGCCTAATTTCACCCTGCATCAATGTGATGAACAAGGATATAAACTACATAAGGTGAGTGAGAAATCCCTTTAAAAAGCAGAGAGAGCCCTGGATGCCTACTCAGAAAGGTGATCCAGACTCACAGAGAACTGATGGTTCTTGTTCCTTAGATGGCGATCACAAAGGGATCACTTTAGTATTTAGCTGTTAATGTTTAAGCCAAAGGTATCCATGCTTGTAGCTAACAAGCCAGATGAATCACGGCTGAGAGAAAGAAGAAAAAAAACAAAACAGATCTATTGTATGTAAGTCATATCGCTGTGAGTCGCTGTGGTCCTTCATGAGGATCTGAGCTTTTATCCTGCTATTTTTTAATTAATGAAAATTTAGTCCATGACGCACTCATGGTCTTCATTCATTTTTCTTCATTCATATAGTTTCTTGTATGTTTTGTCAATATAGATTTTAAACATTCACATGGATCCTACTAATTCCAGGCTCAGCTTTATATTAAACTCGTCTTTAATGATCAAGGGGAAAAGTTTATTCTAAATGGAATAGCACATCTAACAGTTACATTTTTAATCAAGTGTTGTCTGTGTTGAAGCTGCTGAACATGATCAAACTACCAATGTGTCTGAAATGTATTCTCCTCTCTTCTTTCACTGTTTTTACTGACTGAAAAAATCTTTAATCTTTAGAAATAAAAGGGAAGACTGAGGTACACAAGAAAAAAATGTCTGTCCTGTTAGTTAGTCCTGTTAGGTAGTTAAAAGACAATGCCCTGAAATGCCCCTAATTTGTCACTTTGGCTATTAGAGTCCAGTATTAATGTACCACTGCAATAGTTTTAGTCTAGGAAAAAAAAAAGAAGTTTTGAAAAATACCTGGATACCTGGTTTCTGTGAATATCCTCAACATTTGGTTTTATTTCAAACTGAACTTAAATTTAAAAGATGAAATATTTTGTATTCATTTCTTCTCTTTTCTATTAAATCTGAATTGAGATAAGTGAATTCAGTTGAATTAAACTCACACAGTTCTTTGTTTTATTTAATTTATTCTTGTCTGCAAAATCACATTTTTGATGTTTATTAGATTTTTTTTCCTATATACAAGCATGTGTGCATATGTATGCCACAACAAACAACCGAAGCACACACTGAGGCACAAATAAAGAAAAGTCACAAAGAACTTCTCACACATAAAACCATCTTTTGCGCACACATAAACCTAAAAACATTATCAACAAAATGATCTTCACAAAACAGACGAAGCATATTCCGAGGTTTCCATTATGGACCTTTTCAAACGTATCTTGTTTCCGTTTTTATAAACATGTCTTAAAATGAAAAAGTGATGGTCGTGTTTTATCGTATCCGATCTATGATTGGGATCAGTCTCATGCTCTTTTGGCCTACTTGCAGTCTTTTGTGTAAACCCCTAAAATAAAATAAAAACAGGGTCTATTAGAATTTCAGTTGAGAGCAAAATCAGATTAAACAAGTCACAAGTGTTTTTTGTTTTTTTGGTTTAAAAGTTGTTTTCCGGCTTTGCTAAATAACGTGATACACAGTCAGAGGAAACATAGTATGGAAATATGTCAAAGGTCAATGATGGGATTCAAACACATAATGCATTTAGTACAATGTAACATTTAACTTATAATACATTTATAATCATATAAATATTTGGGAGTGGGTGGGAAGGTTACTTTAAAAATTTAATCAGATACAATTACTAATTAC